GCATACAACTCCTGACTTCCCGAAGACTTAACTACTAATTAGGCCTACTGTTGACTGGAAGCCTTACTGATAACATAAATATTAGTATGTATTTTGTGGGCTATATGTGGCATATGCTGCGTTCTTACAATAAGGTAATCTAGAGAAAAGAAAATGCTAAGAAAATCTTGAGGAGAAAATACATTTATGGTACAGTACTGTATTTATATATAAAAAAAAATCCGGGGCACCCAGGTGGCTCAGTTGGTTAAGCATCTGCCTTCGGCTCAGGTCATGGTCCCAGGGTCCTGGGATCGAGCCCCGCCTCGGGCTCCCTGCTCAGCGGGGAGTCTGCTTCTCCCTCTCCCTCTGCCTACCGCTCTGCCTACTTGTGCTCTCTATCTCACTGTCAAATAAATACATAATCTAAAAAAAAAAATCCATGTATAGCTGGACCTTCCTGGTTCAAACCTGTGTCGTTCAGAGGTCAACTGCATTTCCCAAAACGAACAACAATTTAGGAAGAAGAGTGGCATTTTTTCCATTTTTGCTAATCTCTTTACTGTCTGGCTTAATAGAAAACAACTGGATTCTCATGTCTGCTTCTACATTCTGAATGTTGGTTTGGTTGAAGTACAGGAAGAAAATGTGTCTTACAGTTTGCAGTTGGGAGAAGGGAGGAGTATTCAACAGCCCTTTCGGATAACCGGGGGCTTCTGGGGTACTGCAAACGGTGGTGCTCCTTATCAAGGAGGGGTCTCTGCACCAAGATCCAATGCTGTGTCTTGCACTTTGAATGGGTCTCTGGCCCACGAATGATTATGGAACATCATTTATTGCACATGTGGAAAACACTGGTTCCCTGGATTAGGCAGACTTTCTGGTGGGGATTCATTTCGTCCGCTGGTTCCTACCACCACTGACCTCAGCAGGAGAGTCTGCGGCCCCTGGAAGCTCATGGACATGAACTTTCCAAAATTCATTTCTGGCCCCAAAACTCAAACTTTTGTCACTGACAACAAACACCGTCAGCTGTTTCCCTTTAAGTGGGCTTCTCATTTTATGTTTTGAGAAGATGCTCACTAACGTTCGTTTGAATAACCAGGCTGGCTGAGGGTGACGACACGTCAACATGGTGTCTGCAGAAACAGTGGTTTTGCTATCGGTGTGTTGACTCTAAGAAAAATGCCAAAGCCTGAAAAGCAGATTAACTAGAGAATTTAATTGAAACAAACAAAAAGATGGCTGATTATATTTAAAATATGACTGAAATGAAGAGATAATGGAGTTCATGTGATTTCGGCCTGCGACTCTTCATGCCTGGGGCTCCCCCATGGCTAGCGATCCTTTTCAGTCTCATCTCTTAGAAGTTGTTTTTTAATCTGAAAACAAATGGGCTGGCTGATCTGTAACGTTCTCTTACACTCTAGGACCGAAGGCTATGCACACATGAACAAGATGCTCACCATCATCGGTCCCCGGGGAAATGCAAACCAAAGGTATAGCGAGATCCCGCTTCACCCCGCCCCCCTCCGCCCAGGGTGGCTGCATCCAGAAAACAGACAACGGCAAGTGTTGACAAGGTGCACAAACTGGACTCACGCCCTGTGGGTGGGCGCGCCTAAGGGTGCAGCCCCTACGGAAAACAGTCTGGCTGTTCTTCAAAACCTTAGACACACACGGTTAATATGGGATGCGGCAGCCCCACTCCGAGGTAAATACTCAAGAGAAAGGAATACAAGCGTGCCCGTGGCAGCCTGCACACGAATGCTCACAGTGGCATTACTCCTAACTGCCACGTAGCTGAAGTGACCCAGATGCCCACCGACGATGAATGGATAAACAAACACGTGGTACGTATCCATATAAGGAAATATTATGTAGCAATAAAATGAACCAGTGACACAGGCTACAATATGGATGAACCTCGAAAGCATTATGCTGAGTGAAAGAAGACCACATATCCTATCATTCCAGTTATGCGACATGTCCAGGTTTGGCACCTCTACAGAGACAGGAAGGCAGTAAGTGAGTGATTGCCAGAGGCTGGGGGTCACAGGTTAGAGAGCAATGGCAGTGACTGTTAACGGGTATGGGGCTTTTTAGGGGGATGAAAGTGTTCTAAAAAAAAGATGTGATGACAACTGCACAATACTCTGAATATACTAAATACCATGGAATTATATATTTTAAATGGGTGAAATGCATGGTATATGAATTATCTCTTAAAACATTTGTTAAGAAAAACCATATAGTAGTCCAGTCTAACAGGCAACGTATTTAAAAGAAGTAGCATAATAACATCTAGAGGGCTTTGGATTCTTCAAAGTAAGCAGAAATGAATGTCTTTAAAAATACCCTGAACGAACACACACACACACACACACACACACACACACACACCAGGCAATGCTCACGGAAGCTGGCTAAGTGCTGCCTCCGGAGTCAGCAAAGCATGGGGCATCCGGATGGAACCGCGAAGGCGTCCCCATTTCTTCCACCTGCCACACGGGATCCAGGCACTGCTTGGGGTGGAGGCCTTCTCTGGGCCACTCAAGTTCTGCACCCACTCTCTACCTCTGACAGGCCCAGAACCCACTGCCAACTATCATTCTCACCACTCTTTCTTCTTTATGCCTGTCCCCATGAAAAGGAAAGCTTTGGGAGGGCAGGAATACTGTCTACTACACTCTATTTCCTCCCCTAAAAAAGTTCCTGGCCCACAGTGGATGCTCAGTAAGGGTCTGTAAGTGTTTTAGAGGGCCCACTGTCCAATACTCCAGAGACCAACTTGAATTTTTGGGGATAGGCACAAAGCGAAGACAGCAGAAAGAGAACCCAGTAAGGACACGACTGTAATAGGGAGAAAACTTAACGACTATTTAATCTAAAAAAGAGTTCCAGGGCTTTAAGTATCCTGGGTAGTTCTGGTAATATGCACCTGCTATGTGAACGCCAGGGACCATGACCTGAGCAGGAGGGCGGGGCTCCAGTTCAGGGATGGCATCTGACCCAAACCAGGCCAACCATAGCCTCATGCTCTGCAGACTCTCCCCTCTTCCCTCCTTAAAAATGGGAAAACCTTCCAACCATGTGATTTAAAATATAACAAATTGATGTGCTTATAAATGAAAATATATTAATAAATGGATTTAATTTAAAGATAAAATAAATTTAATATGCAATAAAGAAGCATTTAAAATGAGTGGGGAAGGGGCTTCTGGGTGGCTCAGTCAGTTAAATGGCTGCCTTTGGCTCAGGTCATGATCCCAGGGTCCTGGGATCGAGCCCTGCGTCAGGCTCCCTGCTCGGCGGGGGAGCCTGCTTCTCCCTCTCCTCTCTCTCCCTCTGCCCCCAACTCTTCGTGCTCTCTAACAAGTAAATAAAATCTTTTAAAAAAATTAACGGGGATGAGGGAATACATGATGTAGAGATGAGTGATTTTTTAATTACCTTACAAGAAAATAAAGTTATATCCCTCCTCTGTACCATAAAAAAAAAAAAAAAGTTCCAGGAGGATTATAAAATGTATTTTGAACAAAATTATGAAGGTATTAGGAGAAATATTAGATTGTTCTTTGAGAGTCTGGCATTTGGGAAACCTTCCAAAGTAAATGAGATTTGAAATTAAGGAGTGAAAAAAAGAGACTCTCCCATTTTTCCTAGTCTGAACAGGAAAAGAGTCAGGACACTCATCAAGCGGAGTCTGGGGTGGGGACCCACGTGGCCCTTGCAGCCTTGGGCTGGCCACATGCTGGTAAATTTTCAACTCTGAGTTAACAAGTTAAAATAATCAAGTTGATCTCAACTTCTGACACAACAGATTGTGAAAACTACAAAAAGGATCATTACTTTCAAATTCTTTTCCCAAAGCAACATATGAAAGTGAGAAATAAACATATTTTAGCTCATGAGATTAGTCAATTCTGAAATATATAGCTTTGGGGGAAAAATCAGTAACTTAAGAAGTTCAACGAAAATCAGGATATAAAATTTTACTTCAAGCAACAAGGACTCCCTTATAACCAAAGAGTACTAATTTCAAAGGTGGATAAACACCAAAAATTCCAAAAAAATCTCAACAGAAAATGAGTTCAGGGTCAAACAGTATGAGTTCGAAATGGGATCCTGCAGAGGGCCTGGAAACAGGCTGTAAAGTAGAAGACGGCAGAGGACTGAGATTTGGGGGCTGAATGAAACCAACAGTGAACTGACCGCAGGATGACAGAGGCCATCAGCCAATCAGGGCGGCCTGTCCTGACACTGGCATCGACAGTGGAGGCTGCCGGCCAATCAGGGTGGCCTGTCCTGACACTGGCATCGACAGTGGAGGCTGCTGGCCAATCAGGGTGGCCTGTCCCGACACTGGCATCGACAGTGGAGGCTGCTGGCCAGACACTGGCATCGACAGTGGAGGCTGCTGGCCAATCAGGGCGGCCTGCCCTGACACTGGCATCGACAGTGGAGGATACCGGCCAGTCAGGGCAGCCTGTCCTGACACTGGCATTGACAGTGGAGGCTGCTGGCCAATCAGGGCGGCCTGCCCCGACACTGGCATCGACAGTGGAGGATGCCGGCCAATCGGGGCGGCCTGTCCCGACGCCAGCTTGGTCCCACCACTATTTTAACTCTGCCCCATCATTAGAATTTTCCTGCAAATGTATGGACAACATGTTTACTTTTAAATTATAATCGGCACTATTACATTAAAGAGGGTAAGGAAATAAATACAAGTGAGAACTCTAACATATCTGGCCATAGGGTACTCGTGGGAGTTAAATGAGTTCACACACACAGAACACTGTGACTGGACCCGGAAGGTACCAATTTCCCTCACTGTTACCGCTATAACACTGGACACATTACAAAGATTTTCATTCTTCAAGTACACACTTTGCAACAGGAGGGTTTTTTGAGGGAAGCGTTGGGTTAGGCTCCATCGGCTCAGCTGACGCTAAGGATATCAGAGCCCTGTTTATAAGTCAGGGCTGGGACACACCGGTCAAACTGTAATCACTTACCATATGGACTACTTCTGGGTAAATAGGCTCTGTGATCACATTCCGATTATGGGTGATATATTCTACCATTTCACTTAAAGCAGCTCGTTTTACTTCCTTCCACTTTAGGTCACTTAGTGGATCGGAAACAAAGTCAAAGAGGACACAACACTGACGTAACTTCTGGATAAAAAGCTTCTCTTGATCAGCAGGAGGAACATCTGAAAAGCAGAAAGCAAAGGATATTGATCGCAAAGATGCTTAACCCAAAATGACTGTGAAGCACTTTTAAGTCTTCTACTATTTTTATTTTGAATTAATAGAGATTCAAGATGAGAGACAGGGTAGGGATGAAGAGAGGTCAAACATTCCCCAAACAGAAAAACAACTAGCAGCTAGTTAATGCTCAGCTCATATGCTTCTTAGGATAAAATTTCTATACTATTTGCTCTCTGAAACCACATCGAGAGTCCGGTTCAAAATAAACCCTCTAAATGCATTCATTCACTCAACAAATATCATCTGAGCGCCAGTTATCACACGCTAGCGCTGTGCTGGGCAACGGAATGAGCCAAACCACAGGCCCCGGTCTGGGGTGGGGGGCAGACCCTCCCACCAGTGACACCTGTGGACGTAGGTACAGGAAAGGTGAGGAGAGTGACAGGGAAGGGCACATGGATGTCCCCTGGCTGGCTGGCAAGCACAGAGCTAGTGGCATCAGTCTGAGGCTTGTCAGATGAGTGGCTGCAAACTCACAGAGTCACCACCCTGGCGCTCCACAAAACACATTTCATTCCTCATTCTGGGCCCCGGTAAACACATACCACATAGGACACCTGGTGATCTTCATGAGGACAGCAGTATAAAAACAGTGCAAATAGTAAGTACCAACACCCACTTTACTTAGTGAGTGCTTGTTTGGGCCAGGGACCATACTAAAAGCTTTATCCATATTTACACTTTTTTTTTTTCCTCCCATGATCTTTACCATGATACAAGAGAGATAAGAAATAAGTCTGGAGGGTCATCTTGGGGCTGGACAGTGAAGGAGCTCTGCACGATCTTCCAGTATTCTGGGAAGTCTGGAAAACTACCTGCTAGCGTGAGTCTGACAGCTTCCCTGGGGTGAAGAGCTTGGTGGTGACACAAAGGAGTGGGATTTATCTATCTATCTATCTATATATATATATATATATATATATACTGCAATGTGTCCAACATTTGCAAAATGTCTCAGAAGATTTGCACAACTCAGTGAACCAGGATTTTCAAAGTGATCAATAAATTGTGTTACAGTATCATTCAAGGGCAAGTGAACCACTCAGAGTGAAAGTCAGTCTACTGGATTTTTAATGGAATAAAATGTATGGACAGCTCATTACATGATTTGAGACTCTACACTGCAGATTACTTCAAGAAGCTGCCCGTTTAAGTTTTGGTGTAATATCGAGAAACTGTCCATAGCCATCTGAAAAGGCTATTAAGATACTCCTCCTTTCCCCAAACATGTGTCTTCAATACACTTCAACCGAAACATACGGCAACAGAGTGAATGCAGAAGCAGACAGGAGAATCCAGACCTTAGGGAGATTTGCACAAATATAAAACAATGCCGCTCTCTCACTAAATTTGTCTTTGTTTCATAAAATATGGCTCTTTTCATAAAAACTGTTATTTCTGTTAACATGTAAGTGGCTTATTATTTTTAATTTTAGCATACGTGCTGCCAAAGGAGCACATAGGTTTATTAGTTTTAAATGGATGAATAAATATACACTTTATTTTTCTGCTTTAATTTGGAATACGGTCAATATTGGTAGCTAAGCCCGCATACACAAAAGTTCCTCAGGATCCTACGTGATTTTTAGGAGTGTGACGGGGTCCTGAGCCCAAAGCTGAGACCCACTGCACGCCCCCCTGCACCCCAGTGCGTGCCCCTGGGCCTTGGGCTTTCCTGCCTTCAGCAGCTCATGTCGTCACCCCCTTCACACTAAGGGTCCCCTTCCTGCTCCTCCTTCCCTTTCCTGCCCTAACTGCCCACTTCCTGTTCAGAGTCCTTCTACAAGGCCTTTCTTTACTTCCTGGCTGGATGAGGTGCCGTGCGTGCTCTGAGCCAGTCGCTGAACACCTGCTATTGTTTTCAACAGCCAGCTATCCTGCGTGGTATTTCTTGCTTCCCCACACATGCTCCTTGAAGGCGCGGGCCAGGTGACTATGTTCCCTAGTACTCCGTACCCCCTAAAGCAAACAGCAGGCACACAGGCATTGCCATCTGAGCGGACGCATTTGGTGGGAAACTGCGGTTCCCACAGAAGCAGCACAGGGCAGGACAAGGGGATTAGGAGATACTGCCTAAGGGATACTCAGGAGACCACGGGAACCCAAACCTGATTCATAACCATTCTGAGTGCTCGGTGACTGCTGAATCATTTTAAATGAGTGACCATCACGACAGTGTTTGGGTCCAACCTTTTCCAATGAAAAGGTTTCCTTTTCCGAATTACCTCTTCGCTTGACTTCCCTCCCCTCCACACTACCCTTTGTTCACCCTCCCGTTTGCTAGAATCATCTTAATGCGTTCAGTTTGTCGTCACGGCTTGTATGTTTGGACCCTATCTGGCGTTCTCGTGTTCTTGACACTAGAAAGCAAAGGAGCCTGTGTTTACCCCAACAGACACCTGATGAGGACCCAGACAGACGCCGAGAGCTCAGACAGCGTGCCCAAGGCCACCACGCCATTAAGTGGCAGAGCACAGATATGACGCTGTGGCGTACTCTCAGCAAGGGCATGCGAGGGTCACGTGGGGTGCTACTAAGTCTTACATCAGAAGCAACCAGAAGCATCATTCACTCCTTTAACACAGTATAAAAACTGACAATCAGAATAAAGACAAACTTGTCACCAAAAACACTAAAATCTATTCCGATTAAGAAAAGCAGAGGGCGCCTGGGTGGCTCAGTTGTTATGCATCTGCCCTCGGCTCAGGTCATGATCCCAGGGTCCTGGGATAGAGCCCCGCATCGGGCTCCCTGCTCAGCGGGGAGCCTGCTTCTCCCTCTCCCTCTGCCCTTCCCCCTGCTTGTGCACTCTCTCTCTCTCAAATAAATAAATAAAATCTTTAAAAAAAGAAGAGGAGACTAAAATAGTTTTAAAGCTTTCTATCTGAAATTCTAAAAGGCAATAAAATTTCAACTTTCTGGAAATTATGTCAATTCTTCCAGGGTACCAAGCAGCTAAGGTGTTACCGTACTATTTTCATTTATAGTTTACCAAGAAGCCTGTGATTATAACCTCATGAACTCTATTTTTTAGAACCTCATTTGGCTATTTTTACAACTTCACGGTTTAAGTTTTAAACACCTTTTAAATTAGTATTGCTAATCTTGAAAGAAGAAAGAGGCATGAGTGGCATGAGCTGGACCTGTACTTGACTCTACTCCTCTGATTATCCTTGTAACGTGAACCGAATGTTACAAAACCAACCAGGCCCAGCAGTGCTGTACATTACGCTTGGGTATTCAAGACTGCCCGGCTCTTAAGTAATGAGCCACCATCCTGCATTTGACCCAAACCTTACAATTACTTTCATGAAGCAGAATAAAAAACAAAAATGGGCTCTGGATTTCGCCCACGAGTGACAGTGGCTTCCTGTCCTTTTAAATTGCAGTCAGACTAACAACACGGACAAACTTGCTTCAGCACGTGTCGATGAAGTCCTGATCCTAACAGGGACTAACAGCTAAGAGGCACCAGGAGACAAAACTCAGTCTCAGCCTGTGGGTGTTGCCAGGAACGCCAGTGACAGGCTCTTTAACTGGGGGTGGGGGGTGGTAAGCAGTACACCTGCCCGAGACAAGCCCAACACTACACTGAAACTGCTAAGGATCAAGGGGGAAATAAAAGATGATCACAGTTTTGGCTAGAGAACACTCTTCATTATTCTTTTTTTTTTTTTTTTTAAAGATTTTATTTATTTATTTGACAGAGAGAGTCACAGTGAGAGAGGGAACAAAAGCAGGTGGGAGTGGGAGAAGCAGGCTTCCCGTGGAGCAGGGAGCCCGATGCGGGGCTCGATCCCAGGACCCTGGGATCATGACCTGAGCCAGAGGCAGCTGCCCAACGACTGAGCCTCCCAGGCGCCCCTTCGTTATTATTTAAGTTAAGAGCTATTACATTCTGCACACATAATATCACAAACACCTTGGGTCTGTATAAATCTTTCAGGTTCCCCCCTGCCCTGTCCTCATGACTCTGTTACTGTGAACCTGGGACACTTCCCAATTGTTTCAAGGTAAAGCCTCAAAGATACCCAGGAGCAAAACGTAGGGACACACTCATGCCAAACCGGGAGGGAGACAGGAGCAGGGAGGACACTAGCCCACGGGAAAGAGCACAAAGAAGACAGAGAGGAGACTGTGTCATTCTTTTAAAAACGTACTTGCTAAGAGGAAGCCAGTCATTTGTAACTGACAGAGCTGCTCCATGAAGGTGACCATCAGCGTAGGGTGAGCGCACCCCGTCCTTAGCCTCATGCATGCTCCTGGTCCTCACCGTGAGGGAGGGCAGCATGTCTACATCCACGGCCCCAGAGGAGCTACGGGGAACGCGCTCATCACGGCAGAACTTCTAGGTACCTAAACCTCCTTCTTCGTAATCTACAGGGGGACACACACTGGAGGTGCGTGCTTGAGCCTGCTTGGCTGCCACCACATGGGGTCGAGCCTGGGGACCATGGCAGGCTTTCCCAAGGGAGCCTTCAGTGGCTAAACACATCACAGCTGGCTTCATCAGCCTGTGCCTCAGTCACAGGAGGGGCAGGGTCCTGGCACGACACACTTTAACCACCGAATCGTAGGCTATGATCTGGTAAGGCTGAATTACTAAATTGTAGCTATGCGGGGGGAGGAATCATGTGAACTGTTTGTGGGTAGAAAAAGGATTCAAATAAAAAAGCCAACCCAGCCCACTTCCACCTGACAAATCTTGGTGGTGAAAAGAAACACTGCAAGATACACTAGAGAACCGGCTTTCAGCACGAGAGCTGCACAAAGACAGCAGAACCGGCGCTGGTGGGACCCAGGTGATGGCTTTTCCCAAATAAGCCTGACCCCGGTGAAATAGAGGACGGAACCGCCCAAGCCGTCAGCCTAGAGGATGCCACCTCAAAAGATGCTCCCCGCACAGGCACACACTCATGAGTCGTGAGCCACTTCGTGGTCACTCACGGAGTATTTGCTAAGCAGCTGACGCGGCCTGATTTCCAAGGAGAGCGACCACCGTGTAACCTCAGCACCTCTGTGAGCTCTCGTGCCGCGCTCCCAAAGGCCTGGAGCACGGGTCCCATGGGGGTCTGCGGACATCCACATGTCGTGAGCCCGCAGACAGGAGACAGCTCATATAAAACGGAGACAAACAAGCAATCTCTCCAAAAGGAAAGCACCAAACCACCAGCTATGGTGTCATCCTGTCTTTCCAGTACATCTATTCTTAGTCCCAGGTGCGTGGGAATAAAGTTGGATTCAACGACTAACAATATGGAGTGAATCTGGGATCCTTCATTAATATGTGCTGAGTTCCACTTAGCTCTAGTTCTTATATGAGGACGCAAGGCAGACGGCAAATTTCTCCCGCTAGAAAACAAAAGTTTAGCAATACTATCTTGTTTTTGAAGAAGGAAATTTATGTGCCATTTCTGAAATGGCCCTTCTTACCCACCGCTGCCTGCGTCCCCCTGTCCTAGATCAGGTGTCTGCAGGCATGGACCGCTCCACCGTTGTGCGGACGCCCCTCCCGAGCACCAACACCAGCCTCGGCTCCTAGAGCCTCAAGACTCTGTATCTGTTAGACTAAGTTCTCTCACCTTGTTCTGTTCATACCCTGACTACTCATGGCCCTTTAAATTCCCTTTATCAATTTGGGAAGAATGGAAGTCTCTGCAATATTGAGTCTTCAATCCATGGACATGGAATATTTCTCCTTAAACTCAAGTTTTCCTTAAATGTTTTTTTAAAGATTTTATTTATTTGAGAGAGAGAGAGAGAGAGAAAGGGGAGGGGCAGAGGGAGAAGCAGGCTCCCCGCTGAGCAGGGAGCCCGATGTGGGGCTCGATCCCAGGGCCCCGGGATCACGAACTGAGCTGAAACCAAGAGTTGGACGCTTTACCAACTGAGCCGCCCGGGAGCCCCCTTAAATGTCTTTCAATAAAGTTTTATAATTTTCTCTTAAAATGTGTTACATGTTTTTTAGTGGTATTTGTTATGTTCTGATGCCACTGTAAATGGCATCTTTAAAAAGGTTTAATTTTCTAACTGCTGCTGTGACGCACACAAACTGATTCTGGGGATTACTTCTGCATGTAGCTACCCTGCTCAACTCTCATGAACTCTAACACGGCTATCTGTGAATCTTTTCTGTGAATACCATCCTTTCATCTGCCGAGACTGACGGCATTCTTTTTCTTGCCTGAGCAACGTGGCAGGATGTGGTGGGAGCAGCCCCCTTTGCCTCTCCCAGCTCACAGGGAAGCTCCCGCCAGATCCCACTGGGCCTGACGGATGCGCTAGGACTCTGGATAACGTTCACCCGATGAATAGACGGACCTATAGATCCGGTGCTGCCCCATCCATATTCCATCAGAGACTTTTACGGAACCGGGTATGTGGATTCTAAAATGCACAGGAAATGTAAGGGGTCCACACTAACCGAGACCCTCTTGGAGAAGAACAACGGGGTGGGTGGGTGGGGGGCAACTTGCTGTTCCAGAAATAAGTAAGTAGACTTACTTAAAGCTTTATTAACGAAAACAGCCAAGCCACAGAGAACAGAGGCCAGAAACTGGCATGTGCATATATGGATTCTCGATTTATGACAGAACTGTATTCCAGAATAGCGAAGAAAAGTGTGTTTTAAAATATAAGACACTGGGACAACTAGGTACCCACGGGTGGAAAGGAAGGGAGGGAGGGAGGAAGAAAGAAGAAATTGGATCCCATTACATTTAAAAATAAAAAATAAGCTCCTGGTGGATTATGACTTAAATTTGAAAAACAAAACTCTAATCCTTTAAGAAAATAATACAGGAGTATCTTTTGTCAAGAAAGAAGTGGAGAAGGACTTTTTTAATTTGAGTACAGTTGACACACAATGTGACATTAGTTTCAGGTGTACAACAGTGATTCAACAACTCGATACTCTACATTATGCTGTGCTCACCACAAGCGTGGCGGCCATCTGTCTACCATACGACACTGTTCAACGCTATTCACTATATTCCCTATGCTCAATCTTTGATTCCCATGGCATATTCATTCCATAGCTGGGAGCCTGTATCTCCCATCCCCCTTCACCCATTTTTTTTTTTAAAGATTTTATTTATTTTATTTTAGAGAGAGAGAGAGTGTGCACGTGTGCAAGGGTGAGCAGGGAGAGGCGCAGAGGGAGAGGGTGAGAGAATCCCAAGCAGACTCTGTGCTGTGCGTGGAGCCTGACGTGGGGCTCAATCCCACAACC